ATATTAGAATGTGTGCATAACATGTGAATTAGGGAGCTTTTATAGAACTAAATAGGAAACTCAAAAATTCTGAAAAATCTGAAAAAGACTTTATAAAGAGAAAAAAATGTATGGCAAATGATGCCATAAACATGGTCAAAGACAAAAAGACTGGGGAAAATGTTTGCAATGCATGTGGTAAAGAGTCCAAGTGAGCCCAGCTGGTGTGGCTCAGTGGTTGAGCATTGACCTATGAACCAGGAGGCCGTTGTTCGATTCCCAGTCAGGGCACATGCCCAGGTTGCAGGCTTAATCCCCAGAAGTGGGCGTGCAGGAGGCATCCAATCAATGATTCTCACCATTGATGTTTCTCTCTTTCTCTTCCTCTCTGAAATCAATAAAAAAATAGATTTAAAAATCATTTTAAAAAAGAAAAAAAAGATATATTAGAAAAAAACAGGTGGAGATTCTAAAATTGAAAATATACAATACCTGAAATTTCAAAATTCTCTGGATGGGCCAACAAGCAGAGAACTGATGACAGAAGAGTCAGTGAGCTTGAATATAAATAGATAGAAATTGTCCAATCTGAAGAACACAGAGGAGGAAACTGGGCCATAAAGCAAGACTTAGGGATCTGTGGACAACATCAAAACGGCTAACATACATGTAATTGGGTCCCAGAAAAGAGAGAAGGGCATAAAAAAATACGTGAAGAAATAATGCCCAAAATGTTTTGAAAATTTTTTTATAGATTTAAAAGCTCAGAAAATCCTAAGAAAGATAAATACAAAGAAATACACACCAGAGCTCAATCCAGTCAATGTCCTGAAAAACAAAGGTCAAATTTTGAAAGCAGCCAGAGAAAAATAATACGTAACACAAGCAACTTCGTGAATCAGCCAAGTTTTCATCCGAAAGTATGGAATCCAGAAGACAGTGGAGCCACCCTGTAGCAGTCTGGGCTCAATCGGGAGGTAGAAACTACACAATGGTTTAAAATAGGGAAGTTTAATATAAAGAATTGTTCATGATGATAAAAGACGAACCGTAAGATAAATGAAACTCCAGGTGGTTTCCAAGGACGGGCAAATTTGGAACAGGTTTGGACCTCCTCGGAGCGTATGTGGTTTGGCCTACCAAACAGCAGAGATGCTTGCTGGTCTGGCCCTGCCGTAGCTGGTCTGGAGTTGCTGGGCAAGTTAAAGGTGGAGGAGCAGGTGATCAGCAACTGGTGATGTAAGCACACACTGGGAGTCCGGGTGCTGAGTGGGGCAGGAGGCCCACAGTGCATGGGCCGCCATGAGGGCTCCAGTTTGGAGGTCGAGAAGATGGGAGAAAGATTTCCACCAGGTTAGGACGGAAAAATCACAGAGGGATGATGATCTGTACCCCTGACTGAGGCAAGTTCCACGTGGAGTCTCCACACCTCCACCACTGACCCTTCCTGCCGGTCAGTCTCTGCTTCCTACAATGTCTCAACAGTGTCCTCTCCTGATGAAGATGAACATTGTACTCACTTGGAAGGAGACCAAGGAACTTCTTTATCACAGAGTACATACTGAGAGAGGATCATTTAAAGATTCAAATCATCCAAAAGGAGGCAGAAGAGGGGGAATAAAGGACTAAAACATAGAGAGGGCAGAAAGAAAAATAGTAACATGGTAGACTTAAATTCAGCCATGTCATCAATTGAGATGATAATGGACTAGACACTTCAAGAGTGTTGACCAGAGTCAATTAATTTTCAAAGACTCATCCAACCCCTCCTTTCATGATGAATATTCTGGCTTCACCTGTGTGATAGCCTGAATGTCCAGCACCCTGCCCAACCGTCACCCCCACCCAAGACGGCCAGGCCCATTGAGAACAAGGGGTGCCCGGCTGGTGTGGCTCGGTGGTTGAGCTTTGACCCAGGTACCACGAGGTCATGTTCAATTCCTGGTCAGGGCACATGCCTGGGTTGCAGCTCCATCCCCAGGAGGGGGCAGCTGATTGATGATTCTCTCTCGTCATTGATGTGTCTATCTCTCTCCCTCTCACCTCCTCTCTCTGAAATCAATAAAAACATTATATATATAGATACATAAATATAAATATGATGTTTTTGTTTTTTTAAAAGAGAGAACAAGGGGCAATGTGAACTGAGTCATAAGAGCAAATGGGCCTGAGGCCAGCTCCCCTGAGTGGGCCCAGTCATTGCCCCCATTTCACTGAACCTGATGTCTGGAGAAGCCAACATACTATGTGTCTTACTTCTTTATGTTGTTTCTGGTTTGCCTCCCCCATTAAGACTCTGAGCTACCCATCGGTGGGGATAGCTGTCTCTTTTGTTTACTTTTGGACCCCAGAGCCTAGAACAGTCCACAAAGTAAGTGCTTAATAGATGTTTATAGATGGACGGATGCATGAATAGATGGGTAGGATGGATGCATGAATAGATGGGTGAAATGGATAAATGGGTGGATGAATAGATGGATGGAGTCCAACCTTCAAAACTTGAATTTGGCAGCTTTAAGGTCTGAATTGGTCCATCCTAGGGACCATCCTGGGGCTTTAGCAACTACATGGTCCAACCCTTTGGATGAATTCAACCAGACAACAGAGTAAGAGAAAGGGGAGTACAGGGGATATAAAGGAAGAATAGGGCCCCCCAAACATACAAGCTGAGTGACTGCCTTGGCAATTCTGAGTAAACTCCTCTGAGCCTCAGTTTGCCTATGTGTCACACAAGCTCAGCCCACTTCCCTAGGCTCCCAAGATGTGGTAGACTCTCCAGGCTGGGCCCCCAGGCAGACAAACCCACCATCAGGCCTTTGGGGGACTTTAGTGCTCTGCTCTGAGGGGTAGGGGAGCTGACCCCTACTCTGAGAGGCCTGGAAGGCCCAAGGGGATTCTGAGGACACTGGGGACCAGGGAAGAATGATCAGGTCCCCATGTACCCCCACTAAGCCCTCCAAAAGCTCCACTCACCTGCCCCTGAAGCTGAACCCAACAGCCTGAATGGCCAACCTTGGGGCCTTGGTGCCAGGGTGGCTTTGTGACTCACAGCCATGTTCCGGCCAATCAATGCCAGCTCCTGGGAGGAGGGGGTTCTAGAAGGCAGTCTCAGGAGTAGGTGGGCCGGACCTGGGTCAGAGCCGAGAGTCATGTTGGTTGCTATGTGTTACCAGCCCATCCTGAGCAGAAGTTAGGGCTCTGAACACAGAAGTGACCCACCTCTACCTCCACGCGTCTCGAAGCAGCCTGTCCCTTGGGCATTTGCTGAGCACCTAGTTTGGGCTGAGATCTGATGTGAGTCTGGGGACACAACCCATGTAATTTGGGGCTGTGAAACTCAGGAAGGGATCAAAGAGGGGGTGGGTGGGCTGACCCACAGGGGAGGAGTTGGTCTTGCGCAAACTGGGGGAAAGGTGTTTCAGGTGGAGGGCACAGTATAGGCAAAGGCCCTGAGGTGGGAGCAAGCTGGGCACAATGAGGGAACAGAGAGGAAGCTGATATGGAGGTAGGGGAAAGAGGGCAGGGAGGGGTCACAATTGGGGCCTACGAGAGGATAGGGCAGTTTGGGTTTTATTAAGAAGGCACCTAGGAGCCATGAGGGTTTAAAACAAAGAAAACTCTGACTTGCTTCTTCTTTTAAATATATTTTTATTGATTTCAGAGAGGAAGAGAGATAAACATCAATGATGAATCATTGACCGGCTGCCTCCTGCATGCCCCGCACTGGGGATTGAGCCCACAACTGCAACCTGGGTATGTGCCCTGACCGAGAATTGAACTGTGACCTTCTGGTTCATAGGTTGACACTCAACCACTGAGCCACACTGGCGAGGCTTTCTTCTTAGAAAGCAAGCTGGTATCTGTGTCTGGCTCTGAGGACAAAGGCACCTTAGGGTGGGGCTGGGCCCAAGGCCCCTTTGGGATCCACACACGCCTGGTGGAAATGGGCATGGACTCTTAGCCACAGTCTTGGCGGAGGAAGTGAAGCTGCCATCCCGTCACCTCCTGGGGCTAGGCCGGCCGAGGCCTGGTGTGAATGAATCACTGCTGGCAAGGCTGAGGCTGACACACACCTTGGCCTCCGCTCAGCAGGTCCCGCCAAAGCCACAACAGCCAGGCCCAGGGGCCTCAGCTGGGCCTCCCAGGGGAGTCGCCAGAGCAAGAGTCCAGCTGCAGATTGGTCTCCAGAAGGATCCAGGCTTAATTAGTGGGTTGGAACTTTCAGCCCCACCTTTCAAACCTTCTGGGAGGGGAGGGAGGCTGGAGATTGAATTAACCACCAAAGGCCCAAGATGAAATCAGTTGTGCTTATACAATGGAACCTCTGGGATTCAAGAGAGCTTCCTGGTTGGTGACCACGGGGAAGTGCTGGGAGGGTGGCAGCCCAGAGGGGGCACAGCAGCTTAGAGCCCTGTGCATCTCTCCCATCTGGCTGTTCCTGAGTTGTATCCTTTATCATCAGTAAACTAGTAAGTAAAATGCTTTCCTGGGTCCTGTGAGCTGTCCTAGCAAATGGTCAAATCTGAGGAAGTAGTGGTGGAAGCCCCCAATTTATAGCTGATTGGTCAGAAGTACAGGCGGCAACCCGAGACTTGTGCTGGTGTCCGTAGTGGGGGCAGTTTTGTGGGACTGAGCCCTTCACCTGTGGGGTCCATGCCAATTCCAGGTAAACTGTCAGAACTAAACTGGAGGGAACCGGTTGGTGTCTGGAGAGGTGGAGAATGGGTTCGTGTAGGGGGAAAAAACACACAATTGTCATCAGAAGTGTGAGTGAACAGTTTAGGCAAATCTTGCAACCTCCCTAGGTCTCCTTCTCTATAGACTGGGCACACTTGAGTATCAGCTATCTCATTGTCGTTCATCCCCCAAGCTGTTCCAACTTCTGCCCTGGGAGATGTAACCTGGATGTGAACACACCCACATCACAGCTCCTCAGGTAAAGGCCAAAGTGGGGAGACTTGTCAGAGGTCACAAGATGGCAAACTGGCACCCTCAAAACATGGCTCTTGGTCTACTTTGTGTCAAGACACCATCTCAGCATCACCCCTCTTCTCACTCTGGCGCCCCTCCTGAAATGCCTGCCAGAAGGTGGTGCCAGGTGAAGTCACATGGTTAAAACCAAACCCCAAAGCAGCTCTTAAAGCCTCAAGAAGTGGGCAGACAGGATGACCAGGGCTAGAGGGAACGTGTAGATAGATGGTGAGGTACCACTCTTCGACGGCCGAGATTGTGGGCATATGCCATTCTTTCTTTGTACCTGCAAATCAGGCATAATTCAGTCACCTTCTGAGCAGGGCTGGGGAGAATCAGTGTCCAACACACACTACCAGCCCAGCTTGCCCTGTGTCACCAATGCTCATATCCCCCCATGGCCCCAAGGCAGACGCCCAAGCCCAGGTCTCTGGCCCACACAATAGCAAAGCCTAGATGAGGCCAGGGAAGAGGGCAGCCTGGCAGTCAGGGCTCTGGAGGTGAGAAACCCAGGTCCAAATGTCCCTGTACAGTCTTCTTAAAAGGCTGTGGTCCTGGCCTGTGAGCTCAGTGGTTAGAGTGTCAGCCTGCTCACCTAAGGGTCTCAGGTTCCGTTCCTGGTCAAGGGAACATACCTGGTTGCAGGTTTGATCCCAGGTCCAGGTCAGGTCACATGGAGGAGAGAAGCAATCAATGTCTCCCTCTTAAAAAAATAAAATAAATGGGAAAAGTATCCTCAGGTGAGGATTAACAACAACAACAGAAAGGCTGTGTGATCTCAAGCCAGTCACTCAACCACTCTAACACTTAGTTTTCTCAAAATGGCAGAATACAATGTAGGGGGAGGTGCTTTCAGGAAGTATGTGGAAAATCCTGGGCTTCCAGTTAGTGCGGTAAAAGGGAGGTCCCACAGACAGCACCCCACCTCCGGCTCTAGGTAAAGACCACCTGGCTCAGATCCCTGTGCCACTTTCCCTCCGGCCCCAAGACTCAGCTTCGCCAGCCCCTAATCAGTAATAAACAGATTGAGCACCGACTGTAAGCCAAACATTGCTCTGTAAACAAACTTAATTTTCACCATTTTACGGAGGTTTACGATTGTTCTGCCCATTTCACAGACAGGGAAACACAGGCCCAGAAAGTCAAAGTTTCTGCCTTTTTCTTCCTGCCTCCGGCTGGGGCTGTCCCCTTCCCAACCCGCAGTCATTCCTCCCCAAAGGGGACAACCCGCAAGCTTGCCAGTTCCAATCGCCGGCTGGCGTCTCCAGCGATCCCCCCGCCCAGCCCGGACAGCAGGCA